GCCGTCCTACCTAATCAATTTATGGCTAAGTTAAGAAGTAACCTAACCATCCATACCTAACTCAGTCATCTAGATGTGCTACGTAGACGATGTACTAGTCATCTCACCTAGGAACCTTGAAGTATACACAGTTAACAATCTAGAACCCACTACAAAGTTTCTGGATATACAGTTCTAGAGGTAATAGGGTACTGTTCAAAGTATACAGAAAATTAGCATGCGAGAATAATTTGTCACACTTTAATTCCCACCTGGACAACAAAACGGAGAGAGGTGTAGCTGTAGGATTTTCCCATAAGGCTTATAGGATTTTAGCCATCAGTTCCTCGAAGATGAACGTATATAATTCACACAGGCCTTCACTCTTTCTTCATTGCCCTCTCCACTTAATCTCCTTGGAAAAAAAAACATAAATTTTGTTACCAGTTAGCAGCCTAACTTCCAATGTATCCGCTCATATTAGCTACAACCAACTCTAGATAGCTATAAACTCATTTGTCTCTATCAAAGATTTAGTGCTTAAGAAGCACAGAACAGACTTATTCACTAGTGCAGAAGTCTGCCCTACACTGTGAGGAATGTAACACGAAGTACGTAGGTTACGTTAGGTTAGGTAAGGTTCGTCAGGAAACAGGACAAGTGTTTTCTGGCGCGGGTCTTAGTCAGATGATTATAACTGACCATAAAAATTATGGTCAGTTATAATCATGTCGGTTTAGGAAACCGACAAGTTAATAAATGAGCCACTTACATAATATTTGTTAGTGTGACTTTGTCAATGGTTCAAGTCGGACCGAAACGTCGTCATAAGCTTCTGTCTTTTATGTGCGGGTTATTTGTATATTGGGTATCTTTACTCTGGAAAAGTTTCCAGAATATAGGTATCCTAATACTGCACAAGTATCTCATTTATCAACTTGGAAACAACCAGAGACGCCTCGTGAAATGGGCTAATACCAAACTAGTCATCCCTGAAAGTGACCTACTCGGACGGTAATGTTTACATGCCTTCTATATAGCAGTTTCAAACACCATCCCACGGTAATAGGATATCTTTAGCGTCTCCAAATATTTAGAGTAAACTGTTACCTGTCCTCGACATAGCTATCATGCGACACCAAACAAAGTATGGTAATATTATTATGGTAGAAGTGTTATGGGTGTATTATTATGGTAGTATTATGGTAGTATTATTATGGTAATATTAGGGTAGAAATATTATGGTAGTATAGTTGTTGTAGTGTTATGACGGTGTTATGTTATTTATTATTATTATGGTAATATTATGGTAGTATTACTATAATAGTAGTATTATGGTATTGTTTGTCAGGAAACACTTTTCATGTTTCTTTACCTAACCTGTCTTTGGTGGATGTCCTGCTTGTTATGTTGACTCTAGTGTTGCCTTGTGTGAGTACTCTTAAGACGTTCAGAGTGGTATCAGTGCACGGAGGCTTGATATGAAGAGCTGATATCTTGCAGTCTTTGAAGGAAGGAATCCATCATTTAGGACGCCGAGGCACCAATTGAAAAGACCCGGGCCGGGACAACGCAAGCCAATCACATTACCATCATTTAAAGTTCTCTATTAGTTAGATAGCCTCAATACCCTACATGAATCCCCTTTATGCCCGTCTTCCACATGTATACTGCTACCAGAATTCCCCTATTTTTACTTTAGTGTTCAGGGCTCTCAATTTATCGTCTGTGTTCCTTTATTCTTAAATGCAGTTTTATCTGTTGTGTTGCATGGAGACCAGAACAACGACACACAATACAAACGAAGCCTCGGTCTCTAAGCCCTATTAAGAATGCTTTGGCATTCCTCTCATACCTTCAGACTTCTACTGACAATAACTTCCAGGACCTTTTCACGCTCTATATGATAAAGTTCCTTATTATTTAGTTTATAAGTGTCAGGGTTATTTTTATTCTCGATGTTTGAGGTTTTCCCACATGGAAATTCATCTTCCGTATTTTTGACTGCAACTTAAGTGTGTCAAAATAATTCTGAAGATCATTGATATCTTCCTCTAAATTTGTTTTCCTAGTTTTATATCGTGTCTCTTTTGATTCTTTCATCAAGTTACTAATTACTAATATATATTATGAACAACAAAAGACCTAAAACTGAGCCTTGTGAAACTCTGTAACGGTCCCCATTCTGGTTTCACCCCATTTATGTATACTCTTTGCTGCCTATGATAGAATGAGAGAATGTTTCCTCATACACCACCTGCTGCCACTTTTTATACTAGTCTCCTGTATGGGACTCTCAAAACCCTTATTAAATCCAACTAGACAACATCATACTCTCTCTCATGGTTCACTGCCACAAATACCTTACTAAAGAAACTCAGTACTTTTAAGACATGACTGCTTCTTTCCGTATTAGTGTTAAACTCTTTAAACAAATTCAAGATGGCTTCTTATTATATCTCTTATTATGGATTTTAATAATTTTCCCACTATTGATGTCCTGCTGACTGAACAGTAATTGGATGGAAGGGTCTTGTCCCCGGTTCGTAGATAAGAATCACATTAACCATCGTCCTCATTTCAGGCACAATGCCGTTTGTAGTGATAATGTTGAAAAGACTAGTTAGCGGCTAACTAAATTCCATCCAGCATTAATCAGGAACAGTTGAAAACAGTTGAAACCTGGTCATGATTTTAGCTTTACTGAAGATAGATGTTCTCTTCTTTGTTCAGGTGTGGTCCTCATCCCGTAGCTCGATCACTAGCGCACTCACCTCACAAACTGAGCTCCGGGGTTCGAATCTCATCCGGTACGGCTGAAAGCATTAGGGACGTGTTTCCATAAGACACTTGCTGTCCCTGTCCCTGTTCACCCATCAGTTTAAAATGGGTACCTGGGTGTTAGTGGACTGGTGTGGGTCGCATCCTGGGTCAAAACTGACCTAATTTACCCGAAATACTCAGCATAACAAGCGACTTTCTATATAGTAGTCCTGTATACTTTGTAGTAGGGATGTATCGGATATCCGTATCCGCATCCGCATCCGCAGAACATCCACACAATTTCTTACATCCGCATCCGCATTGTGCTGTAAACAGATATCCGCATTTGCATCCGCATCCGCAAAATAGGTAAGACATCCGATTACACATCCGCATCCGCTGATATCTAAATTTTCACATCCGATACATCCCTACTTTGTACATGTATTTGTAGTTGGAGGAGGAACAGCTCCTCCTCCTCCTGGCACAAGAAGCTCAGGTCACGCTCAAGTGCTACTTCTTCCTCCAGGGCCCTTCACTCACAAGCGCTAGTTTTTATTATATTTTTTACGCCATTAATGGCACAATAAAATGAAGTGTATAATTGGCACGTAGTTAGCAGGTGAAGCACGTAATGTTGCTACCATAATTTCAACCTTTATTTTGATAATGACAAACATGGCGATGGAAGTGGTCAGGGCAGAAGACTCGTATATCTGAGCTTCCCTGTTTACCTCTGATAGCAGGTAATAATTGCCAGCTGTATATATGAAGGTACTTTAAGCCCTAAACGATCGTCTGGGCTTTTGTACGTGTCAGCCTCTGTTTATATATATTGCTTAAGAACGATGAGAGTCTAGTGAAGCTGGGAAGTAGAAATAACAGAGAAAATGCAAGGAGCTTGTTCTAGTTAAATGCTAGGAGCTTGTTCTAATGCTAGGAGCTTGTTCTAATGCTAGGAGCTTGTTCTAGTTAAATGCTAGGAGCATGTTCTAGTTAAATGCTAGGAGCATGTTCTAGTTAAATGCTAGGAACAGTTCGTAAACAGGCGGAATTATTTACAAACATTATCTCTCAATCCACACCATTATTATTATCATGGGGAGCGCTAAGCTGGTACGGATTATACAGCGCCTGTGGGGGAGGGATGGAAGGCATTCAGGTTCAATTCAAAGAACTGGAGCACAGATCCAATTCCCTAAATCAAGAGCCCCTCACCAGCATCAAGGAACCTCCCTTGAGAAGTCGGTCCACAGTAGGATTCGACCCTGCAAACTGTTTCATAGGTTCAGCAGGCTGCGTGGCATAAGTTTATATATATATATACTGTTGGATAAATATTTTATATATATATATATATATATATATATATATATATATATATATATATATATATTATTTTCTTACAGACTGAGAGCTATTATCATAACCTCAGCTCACTTCACAACCCCAGCCTTACCTAAGGCATACTGCCACCCCCATCCCCCAAGATGCCACCCACTACAGTCAACTAACACCCAGGTACCTGCTTACTGCTGGGTGACCAGGGACAGCAGGTGTAAGGAAACATACCCAACATTTACCACTAGTCCGGGGATCGAACCACGGCCATTTAGTGTGTGAGTTGGAGTACTACCAGCCAATATTAACAATCATAATAATAGTCATAATAATAATAATAATTTATAATTTAACATTAATTTTAGTATTATTATTCATAACTGGTAAATATATTTATTGTAGAAAGTCTGAATAAATGAAGACTGGGTATAATTGAAAACCGCTGCACTAGCGAAACGCTACTAAGTTAAGCGCTGTAAAGCGGGTCCTGCCTGTACTTATCAACAAGCTTCCTGGGACAACTAATCGGATATAATTTATTTCAGTTTTCTGTGTACATCTTTACTGTTGATACTACTACTACTACTGGCACTGTTGCTACTACTACTACTACTGGCACTGCTACTACTACTACTACTGGCACTGCTGTTACTACTACTACTGGCACTGCTGCTGCTGCTTTTACTACCATTACTCTTATTATCATCATTACTATTTTCAATATTATTTTTGCTGTACTTTTTTTATTATTATTACTATGATTAGAACTATTTTCACTGATTCAATAAATTCCCCAGAGCAGCACAAAATAAAACTGTTATCTGATGTATATAAATCTGTATAAATTATTTTGCTCGTTTTATGCTCTGATATATTAGTTTATATATTAATAATTTCCTTGTTATATTTCTTTCCAGATCAACGTTGCTATACAGTGTTTAAGTACTGACTTCAGCAGCCAGAAGGGAGTTAAGGTAGTATTGTAATGGTAGTGTTGTTATGGTAGTGTTGTTATGGTAGTATTGCTATGGTAGTGTGTTATGGTAGTCTTATTACGGTAGTATTGTTATTGTAGTCTTATTATGGTAGTATTGTTATGGTAGTGTTATTATGGTAGTGTCGTTATGGTAGTATTGTTATGGTAGTGTTATTATGGTAGTGTTGTTATGGTAGTATTGTTATGGTAGTGTTATTATGGTAGTGTTGTTATGGTAGTATTGTTATGGTAGTGTTATTATGGTAGTGTTGTTATGGTAGTATTGTTATGGTAGTGTTGTTATGGTAGTGTTGTTATGGTAGTGTTATTATGGTAGTGTTATTACGGTAGTGTTGTTATGGTAGTGTTATTATGGTAGTGTTGTTATGGAAGTATTGTTATGGTAGTATTGTTATGGTAGTGTTATTATAGTAGTGTTGTTATAGTAGTATTGTTATGGTACTATTATTATGGTAGTATTGTTATGTTAGTGTTATTATGGCAGTATTGTTATGGTAGTGTTATTATGGTAGTATTATTATGGAAGTGTTGTTATGGTAGTGTTATTATGGTAGTATTGTTATGGTAGTGTTATTATGGTAGTCTTATTATGGTAGTGTTATATGGTAGTTATTATTATGGTAGTATTCTTATGGTAGTATGTTATGGTAGTATTTATGGTAGTTTTATGGTAGTGTTATTATGGTGGTATTGTTATGGTAGTGTTATTATGGTAGTATTGTTATGGTAGTGTTATTATGGTAGTATTATTATGGTAGTGTTGTTATGGTAGTTTTGTTATGGTAGTGTTATTATGGTAGTATTATTATGGTATGTTGTTATGGTAGTATTATTATGGTATTATTATTATGGTAGTGTTATTATGGTAGTATTGTTATGGTAGTGTTTTTATGGTAGTATTGTTATGGTAGTGTTATTATGGTAGTATTGTTATGGTAGTGTTATTATGGTAGTATTGTTATGGTAGTGTTATTATGGTAGTCTTATTATGGTAGTGTTGTTATGGTAGTATTATTATGGTAGTATTGTTATGGTAGTGTTATTATGGCAGTGTTGTTATGGTAGTATTATTATGGTAGTATTGTTATGGTAGTGTTATTAGGTAGTATTGTTATGGTAGTCTTATTATGGTAGTCTTATTATGGTAGTGTTATGGTAGTGTTGTTATGGTAGTGTTATTATGGTAGTGTTATTATGGTAGTGTTGTTATGGTAGTATTATTATGGTAGTGTTATTATGGTAGTGTTATTAGGGTAGTGTTGTTATGGTAGTATTATTATGGTAGTATTATTATGGTAGTGTTATTATGGTAGTATTGTTATGTTAGTGTTATTATGGTAGTATTGTTATGGTAGTGTTATTATGGTAGTCTTATTACGGTAGTGTTATTATGGTAGTATTGTTATGGTAGTATTGTTATGGTAGTGTTATTATGGTAGTGTTGTTATGGTAGTATTGTTATGGTAGTGTTATTATGGTAGTGTTATTATGGTAGTATTGTTATGGTAGTGTTATTATGGTAGTATTGTTATGGAAGTGTTATTATGGTAGTGTTATTATGGTAGTATTGTTATGGTAGTGTTATGGTAGTACTGTTATGGTAGTGTTCTTATGGTAGTGTTATTATGGTAGTATTGTTATGGTAGTGTTGTTCTGGTAGTATTGTTATGGACAGTATTGTTATGGTAGTGTTATTATGGTAGTTTGTTCTGGTAGTGTTGTTATGGTAGTGTTATTATGGTAGTATTGTTATGGTAGTGTTATGGTAGTCTTATTATGGTAGTGTTATGGTAGTGTTGTTATGGTAGTGTTATTATGGTAGTCTTATTATGGTAGTGTTGTTATGGTAGTGTTATTATGGTAGTGTTATTAGGGTAGTGTTGTTATGGTAGTATTGTTTTGGCAGTATTGTTATGGTAGTGTTAATATGGTAGTATTGTTATGGTAGTGTTGTTATGGTAGTGTTATTATAGTAGTATTGTTATGGTAGTGTTATTATGGTAGTCTTATTATGGTAGTGTTATGGTAGTGTTGTTATGATAGTGTTATTATGGTAGTGTTATTATGGTAGTGTTATGGTAGTGTTATTATGGTAGTGTTATTAGGGTAGTGTTGTTATGGTAGTATTATTATGGTAGTATTATTTTGGTAGTGTTATTATGGTAGTATTGTTATGGTAGTGTATTATGTATGATGTAGTTTGTTATGGTAGTGTTTTATTTGTTGTATTATTAGTGTAGTGTTATTATGGTAGTATTGTTATGGGTTTAGTAGTGTTATTATATGGTAGTGTTATTATGGTAGTATTGTTATGGTAGTGTTATTATGGTAGTTTGATTATGGTAGTATTGTTATGGTAGTGTTATTATGGTAGTATTGTTATGGAAGTGTTATTATGGTAGTGTTTTGATTATGGTAGTATTGTTATGGTAGTGTTGTTATGTAGTATGTTATGGTAGTATTGTTATGGTAGTGTTATATGGTAGTATTGTTATGGTAGTGTTGTTATGGTAGTGTTAATGGTAGTACTGTTATGGTAGTGTTCTTATGGTAGTGTTATTATGGTAGTAAATTGTTATGGTAGTGTTGATTATGGTAGTATTATTATGGTAGTATTGTTATGGTAGTGTTAATATAGGTATGTATTTGTTATGTAGTGTTGTTATGGTAGTGTTATTATGGTAGTATTGTTATGGTAGTGTTATATATTTTGGTAGTTTATTATGGTAGTATTGTTATGGTAGTGTTGTTATGGTAGTACTGTTATGGTAGTGTTTTATGGTAGTGTTGTTATGGTAGTGTTATTATGGAGTATTGTTATGGTAGTATTGTTATGGTAGTATTTTTATGTATGTAGTTTATTGGTAGTATTGTTATGGTAGTGTTATTATGGTAGTATTGTTATGGTAGTGTTATTATGGTAGTATTGTTATGGTAGTGTTATTATGGTAGTATTGTTATGGTAGTGTTATTATGGTAGTATTGTTTAAAGGTAGTGTTATTATGGTAGTAGTGTTTATTATGTAGTCTATTATGGTAGTCTTATTATGGTAGTATTGTATGGTAGTGTATTATGGTAGTGTTGTTATGGTAGTGTTTTATGGTATGTGTTAGTATTGTTATGGTAGTGTTATTATGGTAGTGTTATTATGGTAGTTGTTATTAGGTAGTGTTGTTATGTAGTATTGTTATGGTAGTGTTATTATGGTAGTATTGTTATGGTTAGTGCTATTATGGTAGTGCTTATTATGGTAGTATTGTTATGGTAGTGTTTTATGGTAGTATGTTATGGTAGTGTTATTATGGTAGTCTTATTATGGTAGTATTATGGTAGTGATTATGGTAGTATTGTTATGGTATGTTATATGGTAGTATTTTATGGTAGTGTTATTATGGTAGTTATTGTATATGGTAGTGTTATTATGATTGGTAGTATTGTTATGGTAGTGTTATTATGGTAGTATTGTTATGGTAGTGTTATATTAGTGTTATGGTAATGGTATTATGGTAGTATTATTATGGTAGTGTTATTATGGTAGTGTTATTATGGTAGTATTGTTATGGTAGTGTTATTATGGTAGTATTGTTATGGTAGTGTTATATTAGTGTTATGGTAATGGTATTATGGTAGTATTATTATGGTAGTGTTATTATGGTAGTGTTGTTATGGTAGTATTGTTATGGTAGTGTTATTATGGTAGTATTGTTTTGGTAGTGTTATATTAGTGTTATGGTAATGGTATTATGGTAGTGTTATTATGGTAGTGTATGGTGTAATTGGTATTATGGTGTTTATTATGGTAGTGTTATTATGGTAGTGTTGTTATGGTAGTATTGTTATGGTAGTGTTATTATGGTTAGTGGTGTATTATGGTTTAGTATGCTATTATGGTAGTGTTTTATGGTAGTGTTGTTATGGTAGTGTTGTTATGGTAGTGTTGTTATGGTAGTGTTATTATGGTAGTGTTATTATGGTAGTGCTATTATGGTAGTGCTATTATGGTAGTGTTGTTATGGTAGTGTTATTATGGTAGTGTTATTATGGTAGTGTTATTATGGTAGTGTTATTATGGTAGTGCTATTATGGTAGTGCTATTATGGTAGTGTTGTTATGGTAGTGTTTTATGGTAGTTTTTTAATATTATGAAGATTAGGGGTGTTATGATTTTATTAGGGTTTAGTGTTATTATGGTAGTGTATTATGGTAGTGCTATTTATTAGGTATTATGTATTGTTATGGTTGTGTTATTATTGGTAGTGTTATTATGGTAGTGTTATTATGTAGCGTTATTTTGGTTAGTGCTATTATGGTAGTGTTATTATTGGTAGTGTTGTTATGGTAGTGTTATTATTATATTAATATTAAGACAGGTATTGTAGTGATCTTATTATCTTATGGTTTTAATGTAATATTTTTGCTGATATTATTATTATTGTTATTTTCATATTTTGCTGTTGCCTCTGATTATCCTCTCTCTCTCTCTCTCTCTCTCTCTCTCTCTCTCTCTCTCTCTCTCTCTCTCTCTTCTCTCTCTCTCTCTCCCCTCTCTCTCTCTCTCTTCTCTTCTCTTCTCTTTTCTCTCCTGTTACTCTGATACTCACCCCTCCTGGTTCTCCCACCTTTCCTACTGCCTCACCCACCTCCTACTCACCCACCTTCCCACTGCCTCACCCACCTTCCCACTGCCTCACCCACCTTCCCACTGCCTCACCCACCTTCCCACTGCCTCACCCACCTTCCCACTGCCTCACCCACCTTCCCACTGCCTCACCCACCTTCCCACTGCCTCACCCACCTTCCCACTGCCTCACCACCTTCCACTGCCTCACCCACCTTCCCACTGCCTCACCCACCTTCCCACTGCCTCACCCACCTTCCCACTGCCTCACCCACCTTGCTACTGCCTCACCCACTTCACCATAACGTCTCAGATCATCACTACAGGACACCCACAGCTAAGAATTTAAGTAGAAAAA